AAATTAATTAAAATTAAAAATGTCAAATGTTAGTGGGAATATAGGACTATGAGAACCCTCACAACCTAATGATGGGAGTATAAACTGGTATAGCTATTCTGGAGAACAATTTTTGAAATATTTAGACAAATTAAGTCCATTATCCCTTTCCATAACCCTGTAATTCTACTCTTGAGTCCACTATTCAAAGTAATTCTCACTCTGGCCCATAAATAAACATATACAAGAATGCCCATCCTATGGTAGCAGAGGGGAACAGGAGGTAATCTCAGTGCCTATCACGGAGGGAAAATAGGGGTAGATAAAACTTGGTGATAAAAGTATATGAAATACCATGCAGTCATTAGAAAGAAGGAAATCAATTATCAATTAGGAATATATCTTAAACAGTGACCAGGAGAAAATTAAAAAAAAAAAATCTTAGGCACAATAATTTTTCTAAGTTAAAAATACACACCAAAATATGCTCAGAAAAACACACATTTAAAAACATACACAGAGCACCCATGTCCTCCACCCTTCCCCTCTGTGCTGATGCTGCCCGGCTCATATCAGCCTCTAGCCTGCTTTCAATTAGTTGCGGAGTTCCAATGAAGAAATATTTGAGGTTAATGTGGAAACTACCAAACAATCTGTACTATCAAGATCATGTTGGAAGACGTGGGAATGAATGATTGAAGGAGATGATGACCCAGTTCCTCTACCAAATGTTAATGAAGCAATATTTTAAAAGGTCATTCAGTGGTGCACCCACCATAAAGATGACCCTCCCCCTCCTCCTGAGAATACTGAGAAGAAAAGTGAACAGATAAAAATCCTGTTTGGGATCAAGAATTCCTGAAAATTCACCAAGGAACTCTCTTTGAACTTACTCTAGCTGCAAGCTACTATCAAAGGTTTGTTACATGCAAGACTGCTGCCAATAAGATCAAGGAGAAAACACCTGTGGACATTCCCAAGACTTTCAATATCAAAACAACTTTACTGAAGGGGAGGAAGCCCACGTACACAGAACTAATGGTGTGAAGAAACGCGAAATGTGCCTGACACTGTAAAGATTGTTCCAAATACTAGTTGCACTGCTCTAGAGTTTATAATTATTAATACAAAAAAAAATAGACAAATATAACAGCAAATCGACTGCATTAGCAGAATACTGTCATTGTACGTATAGTTTGAGTACAGATTCCAAACCTAATGCTGAGTTTCTTCTAGTGTGATTAAAAGTTTTTTTTTTTGTTTTTTTTTTTGCTCTGAATAAAACAGAACTGCGGATTCCCTATAGAAACTAACGTTTTGGTATTTCCCTCCTTTTGTAAAGCAATTTCTGCCTAGTTTGTAATCCAGTTAACTTTAGTGGCCTTTTAAAAGTTAGCATTGCAAATAAAACTTGCAAAAAGTTTTCTGGAAAAAAAAAAAAAAAAAGACACACACACACAAAATAATTGTTCCTTTGGGGAAGGGGAGGGCAAGAAACCCCTGAAACTTCCTCCCACAAACAGCTTGTTTCAAATCAAACATGAGTAATGAAGAAATAAGCAAAAGCAACATAGGAGCTGTACAATATAGTGAGGACAGAGAGGGGGGAAGGGAAGGCTGAAACTAGCATATACTTAAATCTCAGAGACTAGACGATCCTGCTCTCCCACACAAAACTGCCTGGCTCTGGCCCAATCACTTCACAGTAGAGCCCATCAGTGCATCCCTGCACAGAGTTGAGTTTCTAATCAGCATTTTAATGATCCACCCTCAAAAACAACAAGGCAACTAAGGTTCAGCAGAATTTTTTTTTAAGAGACAGGGGTTCACTCCATCAGCCTGACTGGAGTGCAGTAGTGTGATCAATGCTCACCGTAACCTCAAAGTTCTATGCTCAAGCAATCCTCTTACCTCAGCCTGTTGAGTAGCTGGGATTACAGTTGCACATCGCCATGCCCAGCTAATTTAAAAAAATTTTTTGTACAAACAGTGTCTCACTTTGTTTCCCAGGCTGGTCCTGAACTCCTGGCTTCAGGCACTTCTCCACCTCAGCCTCCCAAAGCAAAGGGATTACAGGCATAAGCCACTACAGTTCCTATTGACATTTTAAAGCCAAGTAATGTGAAATTGTTTTCACTTAATTTTGGAAATAATCAGATAATACCAGTTGTTTAGAAGGGTTTCCATGACTATTAAATAAAAGCAAGATATAACAGGATTCCATTTCTATAAAATACAGAATGAAAACAAGCAGGTCTAAGTACAATTTTAAGAGCATGAAAAGGGTATGGAACGTAAGCATGGGTAAGCAAACGAAAAGCAAGACAGGTATTTATAATAAAAGGAATATATGTATTAATATATTATGCCAGTGGTATACGATCACGTATGTGGAGAATATACACAGGAATCTAAAAAATCAGACTCAATAGACATCAAATGGTGGCTAAATTTAGGGGCTAAGATTTCAGATTTTATTTATCCCTTTTTACTTTTTTTAAAACAATAAGCATATTTAGGTTTTGACTCGGCATACATTCACTGGCCTGGTTTACATTTCTCTAATAAGAAAATTTTCATTAAAAAATAAAAAAATTATGAAGAACTACAAAAAGTACTTGTTATCTAGAAGAAGGTAAGCAGGCAATCAATATTTTTCATTAGTGATTTTCATTAGTGATTTCATTTCATTAGCCTAAACATTCATAGGTCTAATGCTAAAAAAAACTTAGCTTTTAGTTGGTGGTTATTTCAGTCTAGTTTATTGAAAATTCCAATATAAAACAGTGTTATGCTTTAATATACTATAGATCTAAGCTTTCACTCCTTTACAAATAATGGCTTCTGTTTGTACCTCAAAAAACCAGGGTTCTCCTAGCGATCTATGCAAATAGACAGGTTAAGAGGCATCGATTACGTTTACCCATTTGTCTTTCTGGAATACTCTAAGTACACACAGAGTTTATATGGTAGAAGCAAAATTAGCCCTTTGCTGGGGTTTTTCAGCAGGCAGGATTCCAAGAACTTCTGAGAATCTGAGTATTTCTGTATTAAACCACTGTGTTTAAATGTTTATAAAAGATAAATACGTTTTGAAAATAGCAAAAGCATCTCTTTTAAACTTAACTTTTGTCAAGATATTTACCCTGAACTTAAGAAAGATCCTCATGAGAGTTAGATTTGCTTTAACCTGATAAACTAACTCTCAAAGTATCCTCACATTTTGAAAACTACCTCACCACGGGTGTTTTCCAACATAGGCCAGGTTTCAGTGAACATGCAGCTCCCTTGACCATAAAATGTTTTACCTCATCTGCTAATTTTTGATAAGAGAAATGATAAAACTACTACCTGATGCCACCATGCCCTCTTCTTTTTATGCTAGTCAGCCTTAAAAATAGTAGTAACTCAATTTAGAGACTCATAGTAAAGTCAGAGTTACTCGAATTCACCGAAAGTAGATGGTGGTTGCCAGGATTAGGGGAGAGGAGGAAATGGGGAGTTATTTTTCATTGGGTACGGAGTTCCAGTTTGGGAAGACAAGAAAGTTCTGGGGGTGGATGGTGGATGATGGTTACAGAGTGATGTGACTGTACAGAATGCTGCTGAACTGTACACATTAAAATGGTAAATCTTACGTTATGTATACTTCACCATAGTTTTTTAAATGTTTTTGTCTTGTTTTGTTTTTAGAGACAGGGTCTCACTCCATTGCCCAGGGAAGAGTGCAGTGGTATGATCATAGTTCACTATAGCCTTGAACTCCTGGGCTCAAGCAATCCTCAACCTGCCAAGTAGTTAGGACTACAGGCACAGGCCACCATGACCAGCTATTTTTTAAATTTTTTTTTTTTTTTTTTTTTGGAGACAGAGTCTCACTGTATCACAAGGCTGGAGTACAGTGGCACAATCTCGATTCACTGAAACCTCCGCCTCCTGGGTTCAAGCGATTCTCCTGCCTCAGTCTCCCAAGAAGCTGGGACTACAGGCATGCAGCACCACACCCAGCTAATTTTTGTATTTTTAGTAAAGACAGGGTTTCACCATGTTGGCCAGGATGGTCTTGATCTCTTGACCTGATCCACCTGCCTCAGCCTCCCAAAGTTTTGGGATTACAGGCGTGAGCCCACCAGGCCCGGCCTGAATTTTTTGTAGACATAGACTCCAACTATGTTGCCCAAGCTGGTCTCAAATGATCTCAGATGATCATTTGATCTCCAGGTCTCAAATGGTCTTCCTACTTGAGCTTCCCAAAGTGCTGGGATTACGGGCATGAGCCACTGAGCCTGGTCAAAATTATTTTAACGCAGTAACAATTGCATTTCATCCTGCTTTGGACTTCAACAATGTGAAAAACTACTGCTGTGAGCTCAATTTCCCAGCCTAGTCCTACCACTTCCACCCATCTTCTCATCTACATCCACTCTGTAAAACAGAGTTGGACAATCCGAGGGGAAAAATGATGGTGGGAGGGGCAACCAAAGTGAAAAGTTCACAGTGAGGTTGGGAGGAGGGTGCATCAGGAAGGATATGGGTTCCTTTACCTTGACACTTGTTTCTATTGTTCTCCTAAGACCTTTCCCAAATTAGTTTTCTGATCCCAAAGAAACTCACAATATCCTGATGGTATGGCAGATTTGGCTTAAACAATTATTATTGTGACAGGTCATCACCATTGTAACCTGCTTCAACAACCTTATAGTCCTATATTCTACTCCCTTATGTCAGGAACCCTGATGATGATGATGCCCTAGCAGCCTGGAAGCTGAATGTGCAACTTCCAAGTTGGGCAAACGTTTTATAGTAACCCATTAAATCAAATAATACGGTCTATACTTTCCCCTCTCTCAATTCCTCTAACTAGAAGTACCCCCATTCCACAATATCCAAGTCAGAAGGAACTTTCACTAAATTTGTTAAAACACCCTCTACAAGATGTCTACTAGTCTGCTGCTCTTCATTCACTAGATGAAACCTTTAAACTAAAAAGGGTTTTACCGTTTTCCAAACATAACACATACCTGATGATGAAGTTGGAGTCCTGTTAAAATTGTCTCCATTTTCTCCAGAAGAATACCTATCCTGTAAGAAGGAAGAAAGAAAACACTAGTTTCCTACTTTGAATACAAATGTGTCATTTATTTCACAAATACTAGAAAATTGTAACAATTGGGCTTTATTCAGAACAAAATAATGACATACTGTAAGGTTTTCTAAATCACTGGATGTTTCTTTACTAATTATTCCAAGACATCTTCACTTTAACATTGTATATATAGTACTAATATATATCACTAGAACAGTGGTCAGAAAACTATAGCCACAGGCCAAATCTGGTGGGCCACCTGATTCTGTAAACAGTATTGGAGCACTGCAACAGCAAAGTTGTGACAGACAAGTAAGGCCTATAAAGTCTAAATTATTTACTATCTGGCCCTTTATAGAAAGGGTTTGCTGACTCCTGACTTAAAACAAAAGTTTAGTCATTTAAGTCACCCATATTCCTGAAAAGTACAATCAGGATGGGTGTGGTGGCTCTCGCATGTAATCCCAGCACTGTGGCAGGCTGAGGCAGGAGGATCACTTGAGCCCAGGAGTTCAAGACCAGCCTGGGCAACATGGCGAAACCGTAGCTCTACTAAAAATACAAAAAGTTAGCCAGGTGTGGTGGCATGAGCCTGTAGTCCCAGCTACTCAGGAGGCTGAGGTGGGAGGTTCACTTGTGCCTGTGAGGCAGAGGTTGAAGTGAGCCAAGATCACACCACTCACTCCAGCCGGGTAACAGAATAAGACCCTGTCTCAAAAAATAAAAATAGAAAAGAAAATATAATAAAATATCATTATAAAATCTGACAAAGTAATACATGAATAAACCAACACTGGTCAATATACACTACTGTGTGCTGAGTTCCATATATTACAGTATATTCATCAATACTATAGAGTATTAGTGATTTAACACTAATCTTTGTTCTAGAAAAGTACCACAGAAATTTTTAAAACCTCGACTGCATTTATAGTGAAACCAATTAATGGTACTCTCATGTTTTAAAAAGGAATTCACTGGCGGGGCTCAGTGGCTCACACCTGTACTTTGGGAGGCCGAGGTGGGTGGATCACCTGAGGTCACCAGTTCAAGACCAGCCTGACCAACATGGAGAAACCCCACCTCTACTAAAAATACAAAATTAGCCCGGCATGGTGGCAGGCACCTGTAATCCCAGCTACTCAGGAGGCTGAGGCAGAAGAATCGCTTTAACCCAGGAGGCAGAGGTTGCGGTGAGCCGAGATTGTGCCACTGCACTCCAGGCTGGGCAACAAGAGCAAAACACTGTCTCACACTGTCTCAAAAAAAAAAAAACAAAAACAAAAAACAGATTCACTGTAAAGTAAATTCACTTATGGACTGAAAACAATTTATATACACAACCTGCCACTGCACTACAACTACAATGAAAAGGTATATCCTCAGCTATAGCATCAGAATATTCATGGTTAATTTTAATCAAATTTGCCATAGCGGTAGCTGAAGACTGTCTTTGCTCTCAAATACTAACTGCTCCACTTCCCTACTTTAGGCTAAAGAAAATTATTTACTATTAACACACAAGCATTACATTAGCAGTGGTCGAATTACTGCTGGATTTAGAAAATTCAACTTGTTATAAAATCAATAGCTGAATGCAGGTTAATTTTGGAAACTTCCAACATTTCTCTGGACAGCTTTAGATTAAGGACAATTTGAGTAAATTTTTTTCTCACTTCTAACTCTTAGGGTGTCCTTATCATCAATCCACACCTTTACTCCTTCTCACATAAACTTCCTTTAATTATGGCAAAAGTTCAGAATAGAGCTCCGAAATTCTTGCACATGACAATCAGAATTTAATAATTTAAGAATGAAAGGAAATCTACAGATGATCTCTTAATCAACTGACTATATTACAACAGTTAAAATGTTCCTTCAAATAAGTTCATTTAACTAAGTCCCAAACCTAGAGAGAACGCACCAAGGTAAGCATCTTTAGCTAACATCTATTTACTACAATTTCTTTCACAAAGACACTGACTTTTAAAACTACTTTAAGGCCGGGCGCGGTGGCTCAAGCCTGTATCCCAGCACTTTGGGAGGCCGAGATGGGCGGATCACGAGGTCAGGAGATCGAGACCACCCTGGCTAACACGGTGAAACCCCGCCTCAACTAAAAAATACAAAAAACTAGCTGGGCGAGGTGGTGGGCGCCTGTAGTCCCAGCTATATGGGAGGCTGAGGCAGGAGAATGGCGAAAACCTGGGAGGCGGAGCTTGCAGTGAGCTGAGATCTGGCCACTGCACTCCAGCCCGGGCGACAGAGCAAGACTCCATCTCAAAAAACAAAACAAAACAAAACAAAAAACTACTTTACAAAAGCTCAAGAGTCGTCCAAACATTTTTCTGAGTCATCATGAAGAGCACAAAGATAACAACATACTTGAAATGCCTTGGGGTTTTGGTAATTGCTACAGTAAAAAAAAAAAAAAGTTCCAGTTTATTACTACCACAGACATTAAAACAAGAACAATTATCCAATATTTTACATTCAAAATCTGAAGACTTTTTTCTTGTTTGCAACGCTCAACGTACTAGAGTGAATAGAGCCAAAAAAAAAAAAAAGACTGGTTTTACAAGTGTTATAAAACACTCTTACACTAAAGAACTGAAACACTTATTATTACTCTTCAAGCTATGGAACTTAATATCCCACATACGTCCAACTTACAAATTCCAAGATGAATTTTGAAAAAAGACATCAAAAATAATTTCCAACAGAATTTTATCATGAAAAACCTTAACCAGCTGGGTGTGGTGGCTCACACCTATAATTCCAAAACTTTGGGAGGCCAAGGCAACCAGATCACCTGAGGTCAGGAGCTCAAGACCAGGCTGTCCAAGACGGTGTAACGCCATCTCTACTAAAAATACAAAAATTAACCACACATGGTGGCGGGCGCCTGTAATCCCAGCAACTCAGGAGACTGAGGCAGGAGAATCGCTTAAATCCAAGAGGTGGAGGTTGCAGAGAGCCGAGATTTGCACCACTGCACTCCAGCCTGGGTGACAGAAAAAGTCTCTTTCTCAAAAAAAAAAAAAAAAAAAGAAAGGAAAAAAAGGAGAAAAGAGGTCACAGCAGATGAAATTAAGTTAAAGATTTTGAGATGAGATTACCCTGGATTATCGGCATGAGTCCTAATTGCCATCACAAGTGTCCTTATAACAGAGAGGTAGAGGGAGATAACACAAAAACCCACAAAGGAGGTGGCAATGTGAAGACAGAGCCAAGAGATATGCAGCCACAAGCCAAGGAATGCCTATAGCCACTAGAAGCTAGAAGCAGCAAAGATTCTGTCCTAGAACCTCCAGAGAAAGGGCAGCCCTGCTGACACCTTGATTTTTAACTTCAGGCTTCCAGAACTATAAGAATAAATTTATGTTGCTTTAAGTTACCCAGTTTGTGTTAATTTGTTATAGCAGCCACAGAAAACTAATACACTGGCCTTCTTCTTGTTAACCTAATACCCCAAGTTTGTTCCCTCCTCCTTCTCAAAGGTTCCTTGAGAACCTGTGCACATGATGTCCTGCTGGGACTCCTTTAAGTCTCAGGCTCATGAGTCACTGTCTCAGAGAAGCCTTCCCTCTCCAACTAAATCCATACTACACCAGTCTCACACACACATTTCTCTAATTTTTACAGTACTTTTCACTATAATTATTTGGTTCTCAAACATGCTTATTCTGTCTTCTCCAGTAAAATACAATGTAACAGCAAGCACCTTATGTTCACCACTATCTCTCCATCACCTACTAGAACTCAAAGATATGCTGAATGAATCATAGGTCTTGTCATTAGCTTGCCTCTTAAAATACTTAGCTGTATACCATTATTATCTCTCAAACCACCCAAATGCACCAATTCAGAAATTTCAAATGTTTAACACATAAGGGTTCTCATATGCAGCTACAAATAAAAAGGGCATTTTGATGAACACATTTTTTTCACCTATATTCTTATTTTCAATTTTGGCATATCATAATACGTTTATTTTCTAATCTCAACAATTATTACTAACCTTGCTACTGCTGCTTAATAAAATTATAACTGTGGATGGTCTAATTACTCAATTACTGTTTCCACTTTAACCACAAGAGATTTTGCCTTCTGAAATGTGCCACAAAAATGGCAAATAGATCAGACAGAAGTGATCACTATACCAGCTTACTTTCATGGTCAGTTAACAAGAAGCCTTACAGCTAGTAAGTAAGCAACGGAATTATCTAATATACTCACCATACCCATCCACTCTAACACTCACCCCAATAAGCCTGCAGGCAATGTGCAAATGCCTAACCGTTGAGATTTCTGGACTATATAACTGCCAGATTATCAAATCTTTCTTAACTTCACATCTTTCGCTATTCTATCCCCAGGTGGTACACTCACTTTAAAATCTAGAATTGAGAAGTTCTACCCAAAATTCTATCAGTTCTACTAGAACAATGACATATTATTTCAAAATTATATAAGCGTATGTCAATATTAAGTCTCTAAATAAAGTTCCTGAGAAGCACTCAGAAAAAGATCATCACAGACAAAACTGCTATAAATTTAAAAGAGAAGGCCAGCTTTTTCTTGAAAACCAAATTCAGTTAGAACAACAAATCAAAATGGTGTCTTTAAAAGAAATGGAATAAAAGACTTTAGATTTCTTCTACATAAAAATGTAATGTATTCATCTCTAGTTTCCACTTTTTTTTTTTTTTTTTTTTTTTGAGACAGAGTCTTGCTCCATTGCCTAGGCTGGAGTGCAGCTGCCCAGTCTCAGCTCACTGCAATCTCTACCTTCCGATTTCAAGCGATTCCTCTGCCTCAGCCTCCCGAGTAGCTGAGGCTACTGGCACGTGCCACCACGCCCAGCTAACTTTTTGTATTTTTAGTAGAGAAGGGGTTTTGCTGCATTGGCCCGGCTGGTCTTGAACTCCTGGCCTCAAGTGATTTGGCTGTCTCAGCCTCCCAAAGTGCTGGGATTACAGGCATAAGCCACTGCACGTGCCCATCTCTGCACTTTTTATTCAACCTAGCAAGGCAAATAAAGATCCTGATTGCACTATGTTCCTTTGAGTCAACTAAGCCCAAGAACTAATGGCACAACCAGCACAACACCAGGTGTTATGTTTGCAGACAAATGCAAAAGACATACTACAAATTCACCCAACACAAATGTATTAAGCATCATAAGGTAGACTTGTCAACATAATCAATTTAGTCTTCCCAATGTGAAGAAACTATGTTATTGAATAGCATAAAAATCCCAAAAAGGTAAATCTGAAAGATTCGACAGTCATCCTTAATTTCAGAAACCCAATGCAATAAATATGCACAACACGCTACAGTGCAGCGTGCTGCTTAAACACTTCATGAAGACAAAAATCTCAAACTAAGAAAAAGAAATGGACAGATGGCTATTAAAACCAGGGGGAATAAAGTATGTATCTGTGAATCAAACTTTGTATTATAACAAATCTATTGAGAACAAGGAAGTAAAAGAACTATAAAAAATGTCCTCTGAACAAGTAATTCCATTTTTGAAAAAAATCACCAAATTAAAACAAATAAGACGTAAACATTAATGACAATACCAGAGTGAGAAGTTAACACCACTGAAATTTCTACAGAAGTTGTAATATGGAATAGTTAGTGATGAAGTGTGAAAAAAGATGGATTCAAATGTTACTATCATATGGCTGGGTATGGTGGCCCATGCCTGTAATCCCAGCACTTTGGGAGGCCAAAGTGGGAGGATCACCTGAGGTCAGGAGTTTGAGACCAGCCTGGCCAACATAGTGAAACCCTGCGTCTACTAAAAATACCAAAAAAAAAAAAAAAAAAATTAGCTGGGTATGGTGGCACACACCTGTAGTCCCAGCTACTTGGGAGGCTGAGGCAGGAGAATCGCTTGAACCTGGGAGGCAGAAGTTGCAGCCAGCCGAGATGGCACCACTGCACTCCAGCCTGGGCAATAGAGTGAGACTCCATCTCAAAAAAAAAAAAAAAAAAAAATTAGTTATATACTATCATCAAAACTATATAAAACATGTTTCGGCCAGGCACGGTGGCTCACGTCTGTAATCCCAGCACTTTGGAAGGCTGAGGTGAGTGAATCACCTGAGATCAGGAGTTCAAGACCAGGCTGGCCAACATGGTGAAACCCCATCTCTACTAAAAATATAAAAATTAGCTGGGCATGGTGGCATGCGCCTGTAGTCCCAGCTGAGCAAGGCTGAGGCAGGAGAATGGCTTGAACCCAGAAGGCAGAGGCGGCAGTGAGCCCAGATTGCACGACTGCACTCCAGCCTGGGTGACAGAGCAAGACTCTGTACCAAAAACAAACAAAAAATGTCTGGAAAAAACAAAAGAAACTTGACTAAAAAATTTAACAGGAGTGCCTGTCTATTGGGCAAGATTTGTAGGTGACTTTCTCCTCTTTTCCCAAAAAAGCTGTAATATTTTTATGATGAGAAGAGAACTATAAAAAGATAACATAGTCCAGGTGCAATGGCTCGCGCCTGTAATCCCAACACTTTGAGAATTTTGCCTGAACTCAGGAGTTGGAGACCAGCCTGGGCAATATAGTGAGATTTCATCTCCACAAAAATTTTTAAAAATTAAAAAAAAAAAGGTAACATGTTATTTCTTTAAAAAAGTTCCAAGACAAGAAACATGATAAATTTATATTAGTATTTTGGGTATTTTAATATAAACGTCACATATAGATCAAATTCAACTAAGACAAAAGATTGCATATTTTATATTTTTGTCTAAAATAAGAACTTCCACTAAGGCAAAACCTGAAATCAAAGTGTCAGAACTGACATACACTCAAACTGGAAATTCTGAAGGGGGAAAGAAAAAATCAACTTGTAGAGACACCATCAAGTAAGTAACACACGCAAAAATAATCTCTTATATTATCTTTTAAAGTACCTTCTATTAATCTTTTTAAAGCCCATTTCCAAGTGAGAACTGAAGCCCAAAAAGCTTACCCCACTGTCCCCTGCTAAATTACAACGTAACTCCCCAAATGTCATTAAGAAAAAAGATCTGAAGATTCATACAAACTGACGTTACCAACTCAATCAGCCTAGTATCATTTATTCTGAGAGCCCTCCTTGCACAAAATCAATTTTCAGAATTCAAAATATCTCCCAAAACGTAATTATTGTTTTCAATTTTCCATACAAGGGTCTTTCACTGATATCAACCACATTTGTCCAAGTTTGCTTTCACCTGAAGAAGTCCTAAATCATTGAGATTTAAATTAGGTCATTAATATTGTTACATCTATTTTAGTTTTTAATTATCAAATTTTCTCAAGCTATTGTATCCTATACGAGGCGTAGCTTGCCTCTTACTCCCCATATAATAGTTAATAACAATCACATGGAGATAAACACTGGCACAGACTGTATAATTTAGAACTCTCACCACAGTGATTTTCAACTTTGATAAAATCCATAGCATTTAATAACTCAACTTTAAATGTTATTACCTTCTCAAATATGGGAACATACGAAGACATATGAGGGTTGATTTCTGCTTCCCAATCTTCATCTCCCATGGTGGCTTCAAGTTCTATTCAGGAAAAAAAAAAATGCATATTTGGACTCAATTAGATCAGAATCATAACTTTAAAAGTATAAACTCATTGTTTCACATACACTTCTTGAAACTACCCAACTAGGTGCTGATACCCCAGAAGCTTTTTCCAAAGAAGGAATTAGGTCTCTTCTTATCTAAAGGTGGCATTTATCTCCTTTTTCATCTTTAAAAACTAGTCGAACCTCTTACCTAGTCATTCTAGCAATCCCCATGTCCCCAGCGAGCCTTAGGCTTTTCCCAAAAATCTGTTCATAGAATTTATCTCCTCCCTCAAAGAGTCTCCAAACGACTTATTGAATATTAAGGGAGAGGAAAATTTTTTCAGAAACTACTTAAGATTTCTCCCTTCCAGATTAACGTCTAAGGTGGACAGGATGTTTGCTCTGGGGTGTTGGTGTGCGCGGGGGCAGGAGTACGGGAGTTGGCGGGGAGGTGGCAATTGGGTGAAGAGGGAGGCCTTGGATTTTAGTGGGAAAGGGAAGAAGGGTAGGGTCGCCCAAATCCTACCGACAAAGGACAACCAGCTTCAACTAGGAGGGTTTGTACACAAATGGTACTAGGACCATCTCTGTTCAGAGAAAACGCAGTGTAGAGGCCGGGAAGAAGGCCCCTTTGCCTCCTCTGCAGGCCTCAAGCTCAGACTTTGGGCACCCAGGGGACTCTGGAGACCCTGAGGCAAAAAGACTCCGAAGGACGGCTTCGAAACCCCGCCTACCCCATCCACTCTTTGACCAAAGGCCGGTTACTGGGGAGCCCGTACGACCGAATTCAGGCCAGTTCCCGCAGAAAGGCAGCCCACTCACCTCTCCGCTGTTTGCTCTCCCAAGTCCTCGCAGGCGCCCACGCGGCTTAAACGGTTGCACGTGCAAGACGCCCACTGCGTCAGGTGCGTGCTCCAACAACAAATGGCGTCTGTTAACGATTGGCTGGTGCCTAGCGCCACCAGCAAATCATCGCTCAGCTATCCAGTGGCGTCCCGCCTCCACTTCTAGCCTGCGCATTCCCTAAACTCTAGCGTTCGGGTACCTATGGCGACGCTCTGGCCTCCTTGCCAAATGGCCTGTTGGGCCTACGAGTACAAGGCTGGCCGAGGGCCCACTCATGTCCACGTTCTCTGGTGGGGTCCTTATTCTGGAGACGCTCTGGATTTTCCGTGTGCAAGCTCCACAAGCCAAAGATGTCCACCTGCCTTTTTCTAACAAAAAATGATAGTAAAAGGGGAAAGGGATAATGCTCCCCCTACTCGGCCTCTTCGGTGCTCTCTCCCATTTTACCCATCGCAGTCCCTGGGCAGTTGGCCCCTCGGGTTCTGCATTTCAGAGGCTCGCTTCACATCCGGGGATTCCAGGTGCCTCAAAGTGCAGCTGAGGCCCGTGGAGGAGGTGCATTCCCTTTTCCTTCCAGTAAGGGGGGCAGGGATAAGACTCCGTCCAGCTGGTACCCCAGGAAGTTGTAAAGAAAGTTAGACTCGTCTGGGCGTGGTGGCTCATGCCTGTAATCCCAGCACTTTGGGAGGCCGAGGCGGGCAGATTACATGAGGCTACGAGTTCGAGACCAGCCTGGCCAAAATGGCGAAACCCCGTCTCTACTAAAATTACAAATATTAGCCGGGTGTGGTGGCGGGCGCCTGTAGTCCCAGGTACTCAGGAGGCTGAGGCAGGAGAATCGCTTGAACCTGGGAGGCAGAGGTTGCAATGAACAGAGATCTGCCGTTGATCTCTACCTGGGCGACAGAGTGAGACAGAAAAAAAAAAAAAGCCTGTAAGAGTTGGGGGGGTCCACCACTTTGGAAGAAAACAGGCTCTGCTCCAGAAGGAGGGAGGAAATTGTGCTAGCATAGGTCATTCATCAAGGCTTGGATTTGTGGTCCACCTGTTTACATTCCTTCCGGCATTAGCCAAAGTGGCCAAGGGTTATTCTGATACTTCATGCTGCCTTCAATCAGATTTTCTTGTTCTGTCCCCAGCCCCCAACCCCAAAGCAGGTAAAATCCCTCAGTATTTTCCCCAGCCCTTCAAAAAGCGTGACCATGGGCTGTTTTAAAAGTGTAGTTCTCAGAGGCCAGGCGCGATGGCTCACGCCTGTAATCCCAGCACTTTGGGAGGCTGAGG